AAAGTTGATAATGTTAATAGATTCCCACGTAGGAGCTCTGCTCATTGCGACGTAGACTTGACCTTCTGCGAATATTTTTTGGTCTACGTTTATTGTCGTGTGAGGTAAAGTTAAACCCTGGGTTTTGTGAATCGTGAGTGCAAAAGTGTTCTGAATGGGGAATTGACATCTAGATGCTGGATTTCCGTTGATGTCAAAATAGGTGGTCTCTTTTTGTAGGTTTAGCTTTATGATATTGGTCGTAGTCGGAAAAGTGACTTCAAAGGTATGGTCATTTATTATGTTTGTGATCACACCGATCGTACCATTGCAAATGTTGTAGTCGAATAGTTTATTGTTTAGGAACATAACTCTTGCACCTTCCTTTATGATTACTTCATCGGGTAAGTTTGTATAGTGGTTAAAGTTTAAGTGTTTATTGTTATTTGTGCTAAGTAGGTTATGATTGAGGGTGTCAATGGCTTTCAAAGTTATTGAGTCGATTCCATATTCGTTGGTTGGAAGGTTATCGCAAATTAATTTATTAATTTCTTTGGCAGTTTCACGTATGCCTACAAGATGAGTAGAGGAGATAGCATCGTAACTGAGATCGGAGGTGTCGATTTTATCTTTGATCATTTTTTTTGATGTTTCGGAAAGACGATTATATTGTAATTCTTGGAGTAGATTGTAAAAGCTAGGGTCATTTCTTTGCCTTTTAGGTTGGGTTAGGAATAGTGGAAAGAATCTTTTCCAAACAGGAGAGTGAAATACATGTTGGGCGTTTATTGGTGGCAATTAGAAGAGATCTCTGACTAGAAGTACAGGAATTCCTCCAAATAATTTTGAGTTACTGTGAATCGAGCCGAATAGGTTACTTATGAATGAGAATAAATCATTAGAAACCATAGATATTTCCTCTATTATTATGGCTTCGAGTTTTTTTAGATCTTCTTTTGTATTTGGATCGTGAACTGCCAATGTTTCATAATGTGAATTGGTTTGTCTTATTTTTAGTGCAGAATGAATCGTTTTTCCACCGACGTTTTGTGCACCAGTTGGTGCGATTACGATGTAATTGATTTTTTTCGAATTTAAGAGGCTGATGATTATATGTAACAGGTATGATTTACTTGTACCGACTGATCCAGTTAGGAAGAAGTAAGGATATTTGCCTTGATGTTCTGGTCCCCAGGAATTACAAAGAAGGTCATAAGTTTGATATTGGTCTTCGTCTAGCATTAGTGTAAAATGTGGATCGATTGAAGGTGTTTTGCATTCTAGAGAAATTAGTTGGTTGAGGATTATTTCATGGAGTTCCATGTTATTCAGGTTGGTAAGTATATCTTTTATGATTTCTTTATACGCTATTGAGGTTCAGATTTGTTGAGATATAGTAGTGTTGGTTAATCTGTTTATTTCTCGTTCATAATGGTCAGGGTATAGAGATTTAAATCTTTCAAGATAGGTTGAATGGTTTTCGAGAAGTTCTTCTTCTGAATAGCACGGAATCTTTATTATAAGATGTTGAAAGAAGAATAGCTCACCTAAGGTATGGCATGATTAATAAAAATTTTTAGTTTATATTCTTTTAAACTTTTATATGATCATTATTATTATTGTTATTCATTTGGTAGTTTAGGTTCAAAATTGCAATTGTTATGTTTAGAATTATTATTGTTGTTATAAAGCAACATATAATTTTTTTATATAATGTTGTGGATTAAAATTTAAAGCTTACCATCTTCTACTTTGTAGATTATGAATCTTAGTAGAAGGGGCTTTTTTCTTTTAATTACGTAACAATTGTTTTGGTCTCTTGTACAGGATCATCTTGCGGATTGTGATGGTGGTGTAATTTTTAGGTTATAATCTCGGAAGTATTCAGGGTAAGTTATGCTTCTGAATTCATCTGTTTTCGGGCGGCTAAAGTATTTATCTATTGCATTGTCCCAGTAGGGTTTTTCTTCATCATCGTCGTCATTTTCAAGGGCTCTTAGTTGTAGGTGTATAGGTTTTACTGCTCTGGTGCGTAGATTTGAGGGAGCGGAGGGTAAGTATTGAACTGAGACAGTCGATCGGGTTATTTGATATTGAAGAAGTAAGATCATTAATTCCATTGCCCCTAGTCTTCTTGCTTGTATATGAGTTCTATAGCTATCACGGTCATCAATATTGAAGGTTTCTGAAGGCTCGGGTTTTGTTACATATTTTGTTACATACTTAGCGAATCCTGTCATAGTAATGTATTGGAAATAGATATGGCCTTGCCATATCATTAAGGTCTCTGGATGGTAAGGTACTATCCATCGGTCTTCTTCTTTTGTTCTTTTATACACGTATCTGAGTGAGTGATTGTCTCTATGTGTTGTATCTGATAGAGGTTGGGGGAATCCTTTCCTGCACAGTACTCTATCGAAGATGGGATCACCGCACTTATCCGGGTAGCATCTATATCGATGTTGTAAACGTAAAATAAAGGTATTAAATAAAAAATTAATTTAATTATTTTTTTTAATTTTTTCTTTGATTTTATTTTTTTTTAATCTTATTTATTTCATCTATTTAGATTAAATTATGAAAATATATACGTATACGAAATCGAGTTAGAAGTTCAAGAAACAAATAAATTGTGTTAACCTGTGAATCTGATATGTTGTAACTAAATAATATAGCTCTGGTTCCTGATTTTGGTCTGGTAAGTCGGCCCATATTGTATTTCTTTCAATTAATTCAGGAATCTTAATACTCATATAAGTGAAACCGTGAGTATGTATGGTGCCTCTATTCTGGAATTCGTCTCTCTCAAAATAATTTTCGAGTTTACCCATTGTGTTAGTTTAGTATTTTTTCATAGCTTGTTATGTATATTAGTAAGCTTATGGTGATAGAATAAGTAGACATGCAGTGGATGGTTTGTCAGTAATGGGTCTTTGTTATCAGTTGATAATAGAATTTCTTTGAGATGATTCCATTTATCCTCTGCCATGGTCATCGTGTAGAAGATTTGCGGCAAACCGTAAGATCAGAGTATCGTATTTACTTGGAGTTCCTTTTTTTTGAAATAAGGGGCAGCAGTTCTTAAGCTCGATCGTATGGTAGTTGTTTTTGATTTGTTGATTATTGGTCAGCCAGTATATACACTTTTTGCTATGAATACGATAGAAATTTTGGATAATAATTATGAATTTTTTTTTAAATTAGAAGTTCGGAAAAAAGGAAAAAAGCCAAACATTCAAAGATTATACAGGTATACGTATATGTGTACGTATATTTATATATGTTATGCGCATATATAAGTATCTATATATTCGAAACGAATTGATGCAATTTGTTGTGAAAACAGCGGTTAAATAACATATGTATACCTATAAGGTTAGCTCTTGTTGGGTGATGTTCCCATAATATGCTTTTTTGATTTAGTAGCCTACAATTGTATTGAAAATTACGTCTTTTTTCTAGATTCAAGTATGATCAGTGCGGCCAGTACCAGTGTAATCTGAACCTTGGATCAGGGCAAAGCATTCTGAGTTTGATATACTTTCCGTAGCTCTCTGTACTTAAGTGAAGGTCTAGTTGGCTGCATATGTTTTCGTAATGACCTTTTCCAGTAGGAAATAGGTTAGGAAAAATCATTGCTTCAAGGTCAGGGTCACTATAAGATACTGGTAGGGTTAAGTTGTCCAAATTCATGAATCTGGCTATAAGTCTTTTATATCTTAGGTCTTCGTTGTATATTTCAGGAGGAAATTCATTGTTAGGGATTACGAGGTCAGGGATCGTGGAGTTGTTTCGTAATGGAACGGTGTTAGTATTTTCTTGAGATTGTTTTGCTAAAGGTAAAGGAATTGGTGACGGGTTTGATGGAGATGGAGAAGTGATATTAGGTAAAAGCGTGTACTGACGAAATATTGGATTATTTAATTTTAGCCAATTGCTGACGACGAGAAGGGTTTTATGATACCAGTGTGTCGGTTCATTTTGGTCTAAGAAAGCACCAATCATGCCAGAGAATAATTCAAGTGCGTGGAGGTTTTTGCTTAAGAAAAAATCACCTCGTAGAAATCGGTATGTTGTATAGGGATTTGATCCCGGAGTGCGACCTAATGAGCATGTCATGTGGATTGGTGAGAGATATTTTCTGTGTTTCATTGGTACTAGGCTTATTTTATGAGGTATGTCCGATAGAACAGGGGGAAATCTTCTGGTTTTTGAGTTTTTACAGCTTCTACAGATAGCTATTTTACTAGGTTTGTTGGTAAAATGGCGAAGGTAAACGGATATATCAGGAAATGCTACGGATAAAGTGTAATCTTTATTTGGATCATACGTTATCCACTGTGTTGAGAACTGATACATCAAAATTGAACAGTAACAGCAAGGAATATGAGGGTGATCATGCAAAATCTTTGTTTTGAATTGATTAAGAAGTTTTTTTAACATAGGTGACAGTCTCCAGGGCGGGAAAGCTAATGGTGAATCGATTGATTGGTCATGTTGTGATGTTGACGCGGGATTGTTTATGACGAATTGGTTTATTTCGTTGCGATAAGTATAAGGCTGGAAGATAGTAATGTTACTTGTGTTTGAGTTTTCTTCATTTAAGTTTAATGAAATATTGCTCTCGTATTCGTGAATAGAGAAGCATTGAATAGAATAATTTGAGTTTCTACTCATATTTAGGATTGTAGAATAGGTCAGATAAATAAAACATTTGTATATTAAAATGGGTAATATATGTATTTTTTTTTTTAATATTAATTTTTATTTTTTTGAATTTACTTTACAAAAGGAATCTTCAATGTCAACTCGATAGAATGACGGTCGAGCCATAGTTTTTATATGCGATTTACAGGCCAAGGTTGAAATCTTATTTATTATGTTTTTTTTATTATTAATGTTGATTAATACATTTTATTTTCATTGTTTAGGTAAAGAAGATAAAACAAAGAGGTGCATTTTGAATATACAAAAATAGATAATCGGGTATATTAAAATTATTGGCGATTATTTAATTATTCTTAAGGTGTGTCTTTATCATCGAGATTATTTGGTTGTTTTTCATCTGAATATAGTCTGTCAGTATCTGTTTCAACTGTGGTATGTAAGTGTTTAGCAGAATTTTCGTCTAATCGTGTTAAATCTACTGCATTATGTTGAACTTCTGCATTATGTTGAACTTCTGTATTATGTTGAACTTCAGCACTCTCAATTTCTAGATTTTTGAGATATTAGTAGAATTTATTAATAGTATATTAGTATAATCATTATTATTTTTATTTTATTATTATTATTACGTCGTTCTCTCACACGATTATATAATTGTAACATGATAAATTGATTTTAGAACATGTCTATAAGAGAGTTGCGTTGATACAGAGTTTTCTTTTTATAAACTAAATGATAGTTTGGTACAAACACTATTATTTGGAGGGACGATTATATTTTGATTTTTTATTTATTTGTTTTTTTATTTTGATTTTCATTTTTTTATTTATTTTTTATTTATTTATTTATTTTTTTTTATTTATTTAATTTTATTTATTTATTTATTTTTTCTATTTTTAATTTTTTTATTATCATCTTACCTTTAATTTCATTGACTTGGTTTATAGCAGATTTCAATCTTTTTGCCCTCGAGGAGCTTTCTTTTTGCGGGTCTTCGTTTATATTCTTTGTCACATTGCGAGGTTGTTTTTTATTTGGGGGTGGACTAAATTTTTCTACTAATTTTTCTAACTCTTCATTTCTTGATTTTCTATCTTTTATTGATTTATCATCGCTAGTTTTAGAGTTTCCTTGGTTCAGATAAGTTCATTCAATTACTTCACTTAGCACACACACTGATCTTTTCAATGTTACTAATTCATCAGCGACTGAGATTATAGGTTGACGTTTCGTGGCATCGGCCATGTTAGCATGACGACCTTTGGAATCATACTTACACAAAACAGACATTGTAACTTGGGACGCAGTTACGCCATTATAAGATTCTCTCTTTAGATGGAAAGCAGCATTATCACCTTCTGGAGTGCTAGGGTCTTGAACTGGAGCTGTGAAAATACCAAAGGGCGGAGATATGGAGAGATCATACATTGATGGGTAATCTTCTAAAGTTTGAATTTTAAGGGGGGTATTCTGCTCGATCGTAACCTTAGTAAAAAAAAAAAAAAAAAAAAAAGAAAAACAAATATGTAGTAATAAACACGATTTGGTCGTATAATTTTTAGCAATGGTTTATTTTAATTATTCAGTAATGACAGATATATTTATTATTTTACATTTAGTTCTCCTACAACAAAAGTAAATCGGCCGATTATTAATGATACGCTGCCTTTTGTGACTTCCTCTACTAATGTCATTTTGCTAAACCTAAAAGCTTTAAACACGTATTCAACGAAATCATTGGATCCAGTCCTATATACAGCACTTCCGCTACAGATTTTACTTGAGCCTGATACGTTTTTGATATAAGATATAGCACAGAAAATAGATGTCATGGTTTTCCTTTTTTTAATAAATTTTTTATTTTTTTTATTAAAACTTTTAAAGAAAAAAAATGTATTATTTTTTTTTTTGTATTTCATTTGTTATTAAATCAATCGTTACTGAAAAAATACAGATCTTTATATAGGTTTTTTCGAATGAAAAAAAAAGATAGAGATAATTCGATTCGAACGAAAAAGCCTAATAATAAATCTAGTATCTTTTGTTTATGGTTTTATGGTAATAATCGTTTAATAAAATTTTTTTTATTTATTTATTTTTTTTTGTACAAGTTAAGCGTAGAATAGTTGTATATTTTTATTAAAAAAGAACAGACGGGTAAAGATAATACGTAATAATACAATTTTAGATTTTTAAGAAAGGGATTCTTTAGGGGTTTATTATACAAATTGCAGTAAACAAAATTTTTTCCCGACATATGCATTTATTATCGATCATTAAAGCCAAAAACCGAAGGATTTTTTGTTTGTTAGACGGTCGCCTTTTTTTTTTTTAGGAATTACATAGTATTGAGAAATAATTATTGTTAGTTGACTAAGTTGTTGAGACTATATCAAATATTAAAAAAATCAAAAAATGCATTCATATATATAAAAATGCAATTATAAGCAGGGTTTAGCATTTAATAACGAAGTTTACATATGGTTCTTTTTAGAAACATGCAGTGCGCAATATTGAGATTTCAATAAAATTAAAAGCAGAATAATAGATAATTAACTCTGCTGTGAAGTTTTTGTTTTTTTGATCATTCGTTTCATCAGACAAGGTCAGGTTTGCTA